TGCCATCACCTCTGCCACTCATCAGAAAATCCGCTACCCAATTCCTGGGGGCGGTGTCGGCCAGATCAACAGCGACCAGGCAATGGCGAGGAAATGCTCAGCTCAAGGGCTGAAGAAAAGCAAGCCAACACAGTTCCTCCCTGTGAATCAAGCAGACCTGGAGGGAGCAGAACAGCCAGACCCCGTTCCTAGCAACCGAGCAAGCCAGAAGGGGAAGGGGATAACTATCCCCTTATAGCAATCAAAGCATCAGGACCAAGTCGAGGAAATCCGTCCGGAGGTCTCCCCTGAAGAAGGATGGAAACCTGAAGAGGACGTCGAGCTAATACCCTTGGATCCTGACCAGCCAGACAGAAAAGCGCGGATCGGCTCGCGCCTAAGCACAGATGAGAAAAGGACATGTTCGCATGGTCACTGTCAGACATGCCAGGCATCGACCCGAACATCATCTGCCATCGACTCCACGTCAACCCTGCCAGCAAGCTAGTGGCGCAAAAGAGATGCAACTTCGCTCCAGAGTGGGTCGCAATCATTGAAGCCGAGATCGACAAACTTCTAGCAGCCGGCTTCATTGAAGAGGTCTCCTACTCGGAGTGGTTGGCCAACGTTGTTCTGGTGGCGAAATAAGAGAAGGGCAAATGGAGAGTTTGCGTCGATTACACTGACCTCAACAAGGCAAGTCCTAAAGACAACTTCCCATTGCCGAGAATCGACCAACTCGTGGATTCCACCTCCGGCAATCAGCTGCTCAACTTCATGGACGCCTACTCCGGCTACAATCAAATCATGATGCACAAGGATGACAAGGCGAAAACTTCTTTCATCATCGAGAGAGGGACCTACTGCTACAAGGTCATGCCCTTTGGGCTAAAGAACGCCGGAGAAACATACCAAAGGCTCGTGAATAAAATCTTCAAGGAGCAGATCAGCAAGACTATGGAAGTCTACGTAGACGACATGCTGGTCAAAGCCCCCAAACGTACAGATCACATCGAAAACCTTGCCGAGGCATTCAGCCTGCTACGCCAGTATCGCATGAAGTTGAACCCAAGTAAATGCACGTTTGGTGTATCGTCCGGTCGATTCTTGGGATACCTAGTCACGCAACAAGGCATCGAGGCACACCCACGACAAATCAAGGCCATTCTCGAGATGAAGTTGCCTTCCACAATGAAGGAAATACAAAGTCTGACGGGCAGAGCAGCGGCCCTCAACCGATTCCTGTCGAAATCTATCGACAAGTGCAGACTATTTTTCAAAGCTTTGAAAAAAGGACAAAGAGACAAGTGAGATGAGGAGTGCGAAGTAGCTTTTCAGAATCTGAAGACTTACCTCACTTCACCTCCCTTGCTCTTAAAACCAGTTCCAGGCGAGGACTTATTCGTGTACCTGGCAGTGTCCAACTCGGGCGTTAGCTCAGCTCTCATTTGAGAAGAACTAGGGGCCCAACATCCGGTACTCTACACGTCAAAAGCTCTCCTCAATGCAGAGACTCGCTACCCGAAATTGGAAAAGCTTATTTTGGCACTTGTAGTTTCAGCTAGGAAGTTACGACCCTACTACCAAGCTCACAGAGCCATCATCATGACCGACTTTCCTTTGAGATCAATACTTCACAGCCTTGACGCTTCCCAGCGACTCATGAAATGGGTTATAGAACTAAGCTAGTATGACCTCCTCTACCGGCCAAAGACTGCAATAAAAGCCCAGGCTCTAGCAGACTTTGTGGCAGAATTCACCTCATCAGCCGAAGAAGAGAAGCTGGTCAACCATAAGAAGGAAAGTTCAAAAACAGATAGCCCGTTAGCTCAGCTCTCATTCGAGAAGAACTAGGGGCCCAACATCCGGTATTCTACACGTCAAAAGCTCTCCTCGATGCAGAGACTCGCTACCCGAAATTGGAAAAGCTTATTTTGGCACTTGTAGTTTCAGCTAGGAAGTTACGACCCTACTACCAAGCTCACAGAGTCATCATCATGACCGACTTTCCTTTGAGATCAATACTTCACAGCCCTGACGATTCCCAGCGACTCATGAAATGGGCTATAGAACTAAGCTAGTATGACCTCCTCTACCGGCCAAAGACTGCAATAAAAGCCCAGGCTCTAGCAGACTTTGTGGCAGAATTCACCTCATCAGCCAAAGAAGAGAAGCTGGTCAACCATAAGAAGGAAAGTTCAAAAACAGATAGCCCATCCGCCGAACCTGGCCAACCCACAGACATGTGGCAATTGCGCGTAGACGGAGCGTCGAACCAAAAAGGAGCGGGAGCAGACGTCGTCATCATCACCCCAGATGGGACCCTATTGGAGCAGGCCATCAGGCTTGGTTTCCCAGCCTCAAACAACAAGGTAGAATACGAGGCATTGCTCGCTGGCCTGCGCTTGGCAAAGGAGCTAGCGATCAAGAAGCTAGCCATCTACTCAGATTCCCAGTTGATCACGAATCAAGCCTCAGGTGAATACATGGCAAAGCACCCAAGGATGATCTTGTATCTTGACAAAGTCCAAGAGCTATTGAAGGCGTTTCCTACCTTCACCATCCAACAGGTGCCTCGAGCAGAGAACGCGCATGCAGATGCCCTGGCAAGCCTAGGGTCGACACTAGATACCCAATTCAAACGCTCCATCCCGGTCGAACACCTAGACCGACCAAACATTGAAGAAATAGAGCCAATCGATGCAATGCAGATTGACGAGGACCCCAGCTGGCAAGGCCCCATCATCGACTACCTGATGAATGGAAATCTACCAACGAAAAAGTTCGAAGCTAGAAAAGTCCAGCAGAAAGCCGCGAGATACTACATGCACGGCAACAAGCTCATCCGCAGATCATACTTCAGCCCTCATCTCACCTGCATAAAATACTCTCAAACACTTGAGGTTCTCTGGAAAATTCACAACGGCGAGTGTGACAACCACTCTGGGGGCATATCACTCACCTAGAAGGCTCTAAACATAGGCTACTTCTGGCCTATCATGCGCCACGACTCCATCGAATATGTCAAAAAATGTGATCGCTGCCAGCGATACAAGCCAATTCCTAACCTGCCTGCCGCAGTCTACCATTCGCAAAACAATCCATGGCCATTCATGCAATGGGCCATTGACCTAGTGGGTCTCTAGCCACCGGCGCCCGCCAAGAAGGAGATGATGATTGTTGCCACCGACTACTTTACTAAGTGGTTTGAGGTCGAAGCTCTATCCTCTACTAAAGAAGCCGATGTGGAATGATTCATCTGAAGAAACATCATCTGCCGATTTAGCTGCCCACAACCACCAGTTACTGACAATGGCTCACAATTCATCGACAAGCAGATGACTGAGCCCTGCACATTTATGAAGAAGAGAACCATCTACTGCAAATTCCAGAATGTGCCACAACAAAAGACAGTTGCCCATAAGCAGCGTCCTAAGGGAGACACAGGGTGCGCTAGGAATCTCCTAAGGGAGGTATCCAGGTTCCTATCCGTTTCCTAAGGGAGGCAGGATAGTCACACAGTTGCCCATAAGGAGCGTCCTTCGGGAGACGCAGGGCGACGACCAAAGCGTCCTTCGGGAGACGCAGCCCATAAGAAGTGTCCTAAGGGAGACACAGGGTGCGCTAGGAATCTCCTAAGGGAGGTATCCAGGTTCCTATCCATTTCCTATGGGAGGCAGGATAGTCACACAGTTGCCCATAAGCAGCGTCCTTTGGGAGACGCAGGGCAACGACCAAAGCGTCCTTCGGGAGACGCAGCCCATAAGAAGCGTCCTAAGGGAGACACATGGTGCACCAGGAATCTCCTAAGGGAGGTATCCAGGTTTCTATCCGTTTCCTAAGGGTGGCAGGATAGTCACACAGTTGCCCATAAGCAGCGTCCTTCGGGAGACGCAGGGCAACGACCAAAACATCCTACGGGATGCGCAGAACACGCTCGGAGTCCCTCAAGGGGGACCCTAGCCGTTGCCAATTTCTTAAAGGGAAGAACATCCTATGGGATACGCAGAACACGCCCGGAGTCCCTCAAGGGGGACCCTAGCCCCTCGCCTATTTCCTAAGGGAAAACATTATACAGGATATGCAGAACATGCCCGGAGTCCCTCAAGGGGGACCCTGGCACTTACCAAGTTCAATAAAAAGAAGATGGTCAGACAAGACCAATTATTCTAAATAAGAAAGCAGACTACAAGGTGAAAAGAAATAAATGAGTCTTCATTTACTCTGAGATGCCAGCATGAGATCCTTGATCTACAACCTCTTCAGCGTCCGCCTGATCAGCCATGTTCTCAGCAACTCCACCTGCTTGGTCCGCGACGTCTGCCACTACCTCATATGCTGCATCCTCCTTTGCTTCACCTGCTCTTCAACTACCGCTTCTTCGACCGCCTACTCTTCAACTCCTTCCATGTTCACAGCATTAACCTGCTCACTTTGCACATGGAGCAAGTCAGAACAGAGCATCTTGATATCTCCATCTCCAATGGCATAGAAGGGATCATTTCCATTTGAACAGTCTAAGTAGCCCAACTTGTACGCATTCATGGTAGCTTAGAACCTGGACTTCTCAACAGACTTATGATATGCGCCAAATCTAGCCAAAAGCTTGTCATGACTAAAGGAGACGTCAGCATTCTTGTGCTCAAGACGTAAGTAGGCATCTTTTCGACTAACCAAGTCAGCAGCAGAAGAGGGGGCAACAACAAACGAGTTTCGGATAGTTTCAGCAACAAGAACTACTCATTTTTGAAGCAGATGAAATGTTGCTTCATTTTGTTTTTCCAAAGAAAGACTCGAGAATGTGCCAAGATCGCCGGCCTGAAGGATGTGATCGACCAACTCAACACAGGAGGCCGAGTTTGATAGGAAGTTCGTCTTGAGCAGATCAGACATGCATGCATCCCCTGCGGAGTTAGACTTGTCAACCTTTGGACCAGCTATTCACATTTCCGAATAACCCTTTGCCCAAGCAGATGACTCTCTAGCATTCTTAGCCGCCGCCATCCTTGCTTCCAAAAGAGTCAACGACGCTGAATCAGCTCCATGTTTGATTGCTCATGGCTCAACAACTGGATCACAATGGTTAGGCAGAAGAGCAGTTCTCCCAGTCCGATCCTCGTCCCTTGACTGGTGCAAGCGACTTGAATGTCCCTTGACTGGTGCAAGCGACTTGAACTTCGGAGAGGAATATCAACATTTCTTTGCCTCTCGGTAGGCGAATTGGTTTGGGAGCAGACTTCTCTACAAGGCAGATTGCAGTTTCTGAGCTTGTCAGTAGGATACTTGAGGGGCAGAACACCCCGAACATCGCACATGCCACCAACTTTCGTACTATATGCATCCATGAGATGTTTGGCCCTGGCAGATGATGACGGAGTAGACCCCATTGGAGTCTTGTCAGTATAAGGGAACCTTGGCTTCTTCCTCAATGGAGACACATTCTCTGCTTGCGAATGAGTAGCTTCATCTCTTGAAGACTTGGCAGCAGCCTTTCTCTTTGGGGGAGATTTAGCAAAACACTTCTCCTGCCCAGCTGGCAGATCATCAGAGTCTGGACCATTTAGCTTCCATCTCTCAACATCCTGGGCAGGGGCAGACCACCGACTTTCTCCCAATACTTGCCCAACTGATGACGCCCGCAACGCATAGGCAGTGGCTGGTCCACATGCGCACCTGCTCCACCACAGCTGCTGCCCACTGCCAGCCGTCACCTATCACGACGACATCTAGTCGGGCTTTCCCTAGCTGATCCTCGAAGCAAAAAAGAAGAAAAAGAAATACACGTGCTCGACTTACCTTGGGATGCACGGCGACTCCTCTCTTCGACAAGCAGTACAAATTCTCCAAGATCTCTCTCAAGCTAGAAAGTAGAGAAGTTAAGTTTGCGATGTGAAGAAGAGTGAAGAGAAGCCCTGCATTTACACATGTTCGGCATCCTAGGTCAAGAAAGAATCATAAGCCCATTCCTACTGGGAACCGAACTCCAAGTGCAAGTCATATACTTCCTCCACTCAGGAGCCCAAATCCAAGAAGGAAGCCCAGTTACAG